CACAACTTCACTTCCCAACCCCTTTAATATGAAAAATAGAAGGGGGAGGTAATAACATTGCGTTGCATAAAAAATCAATCACATCATACTTAAAACAACCATACTACACTTGCTCTAGTAATTTTAACCTTATCAACTTTACAACTTAACATAAACAACATTTCAGGGCTTAAAATACTATCTAAACAACAATGTAGTGCAAGTAGAAACCAAATGCATTTTAAATTGGGAATATTAATCTATTATACAAAATAAATGAATCTTAGAGGCATTACTCTAGGAATACCTAAATTCCTAAGCCTCTGGAGCTTTTTTTTTCTTTTTACACTAGAGCTAGAGTCTATAAATGTTAAAGGAAAGGGAAAGTTTAATCACTCAGTAACTAAAGTAAACCTACCATTTATAGTTGTATATCAATTGAAATAAAAACATATAGGTATAAAATAGATTTTCTTAAAAACATGCATTAACACATAACTCATAACTTATCATTTCTTAGTTAACTCATTTTTCATTTCATCGCAAAATATATTGTCACAGGACACTTAGACATACGATCATTACCTGCTATATTAACACAACTTACCACAACTCAATCATGTGACACGTGATATATTCACATAGGCATGATCATACCATCCTTATACCCTCCTTATTTCTTTCGATTGAAACTGTAGACTATAACATTGTATAAGGCTTTGTCCATGTGACTAGATTACCTAAGCTCACCAATTGTGAGGTGTGACCTGGCCAAAGATCACAGCACTCACTCTCGGACTACTGTTTCTCCCATTCTCAAATCTTGAGGATGTTACATACCTTAAGCTAATCTCCTTAATAAACTAGTGGAGATAGCTAGGTTCTAGTTCGTCAACAAACTATGAAATAATTCCTCGATAAATTGTGAGACAAGACTATACCCTTGTTTATCGAAAGGCAATCGAAAATACTATATAAATTTTATCTACTCCTGTTCCTAGGTAAACTCTGGCCAACTGATGATGCCATGAAATATGCCCACTCATTTTTCTCAATATCATTTTCAAAATCAACACATTGAGCTCACGACTATGCGTTACCTAAGTAAGCATCAAACTCATTTTCACATTTATCACATGCAGTAAGCATCAAACTCATTTTCACATTTATCACATGCATCTATCATTTCCAATCTCAACAATTATCAACTACTTATTTCATCATCATAATGAAACTTTAAAACTCTTTCCATAATCACTTTGCATCTTTTGTTCAAATCAAGGTAATCATATGAATATATGAATTTTATAACATTCTTATACATATTCACAAATCACAATTTCACATGCTAAATACATATTTACATTACATTGCAATTAATAAACAATTACCTAAAGTAGGGTTCTCTTGGTTACTTTAAATTTTTGAGAGATTAAAGGTTTACCCCTCAATATTTTAGGCTCCAAACTTGATTTCCTAAGCTACAATGGTGCTCAAAATCTCAATCTACAATTAGCCAATTCTAAACTTCATTAATAATACCAAATACATAATTTCCACTCTTATTTTCTACTTCATTAACACCTAACATCCTTAATTTTCACGTTTAGTTTTACCCATTAGGTTTATTAACTCTCTTTTCTTTTCAATAACACTAATGAGCCATTAAACCTCTATTAATGGCATTGCAAATCTTCTGACAACCCTCATAATTGTTGTTTTCAAATATTAATGATATTTACCAACCAAGGATGTCAAAACTCAATATTTTTTAGTTTAAATACTCCAATCTCATTATCTCTATTTAAGCCAATAGATTCAAACTCATATTCTATATAGACTGAAAATTGTCTCTCATTATTAAACCCTAGCCAAAAACTTCATAACTGTGGAAGGAATAGGGAGGAATGGAGTATATGATATTTACCTTAAGTGTTTCTAGCTTTAAAATGTCCCTAACACTCCCTAATATGAACCTTAGTAGAGCTTGGTCGCTTGTTCTTAGTTTCTCCCTTTTTCTTCTTTCAATTTTCTGTTTATTCACGACTTAAACTGTAGAAAATAGGCTGTGCACTATGGCACTTGGCACAAAAAGGCTTTCTGCCTTGAATTATTCTCTGTGCGCCATGACGAACATGCTGCATGCTATGGCATGTGGCACAGAGACATCCCTTCACATTCTTCTCTTCTTTTCGATGCCCGAGTGGCCCGACTTCACTTCAAACCCATACTTAGGGCTAAAAATACAACTAAATACATTCATTAGATCTCCCTAGCTACGCACCACATCAAATCATTCAATTATCCTAATTAAACTTGATCAATTTCTTTAAAAATCTAGGGATTAAAACTTGGGATGTTACACAAACTGTTGGGGTGTTCTCTACACCATGAGCCACAACAAATTGCAATCTTGGTCACGACAAATGATCCTGTTTTGCTAAAAAACTCTCTAACCCCATTCCAATTTGTTTCAATGCTCAAATGCTTTCCCTTGCTTTCGCAACAAATTATACTCTGATTTTGAAGTATTTTAAGGATCTTTTATAAATGTATTCAAATCTAAACTATTTTATTTTGGGATCTCATTTATGCCAAAATATTCTTAATCAATCATTAGAGTTTTTAAATAGCCAAGATTGATCCTATCTTCTTTTGGTATCTTCTTAAGTTGATTTATTGGCTTTAAGGATTGTGGTTATATGTGATTAATGTGAAAGGACATTACAACATTTCATATTAGACATCACCAATAACATTCTCTTGTTGGGTAAGGAACCAAAAACTTTATGATCTATTTTTGCTTTTGTGCTACGAACTTTGCATTTTGAATGCTCACTCAAGTTAGCGAGGGGTATGCTAGTTAGAGATTATGTAATAGCACCTTTTGATGAGAGATATGAACATTAGACTTTGCAAAAACTAGTATTTTTTGAATCATATGAAACCAAAAAGGCAAGCAACGAATGACAAATCAATGGATATTTGTACCCAAGTATGACAAAAGTAAGAGTATTTTATGGAAGAACATAGAATCTATTTGAATAGCCTCTTATAACTTATAGTAGGAAGGCCTTGTATCTCGAAATTAATTCATCAAGTTATGATAAAATACTCACAAGTCCTTATTGTGTGTGATAATGTTCTATCCCATATGATGTCATTAAACAAAATGAATTTATGCATTACCATTTATTACAAAGTTAGATTGTTACTCTTCAAGTCTTATAGTGACGAATTTAAAGTATATTGAATTTTCGAATTGATATGAATTCTTCAGAGAATAGGTGGCCATTTCGAATGCATAGAAGACAATTTCAAATTGCTCTTTCATTCACAATGACTATTAATAAAACTCAAGGGCAATCATTATGTCATGTTGGATTATACCTTTCTAACCTAGTGTTTACACTCGAACAACTCTATGTTACACTTTCATGATTAAGGACTATGGAAGGGTTGAAGATTCTATTGCATAACAACAGGGATAATATGAAATCAATAACTTCCAATGTTGTTTATTGTGAGATTTTTCATAATTTGAAAGCATCAAATATTAAATGCCAATGATTGACGAAGAAGGTAAAAGTGTTATACTATTTTTAAACCTATGAATTATATCAATTGAAATTTTTTCACAATAGTTTTATATAATTTAAAAAGTTTCGTGTTCTTTTAGGTTTTGCTTCCTTAAATAGTACTTCCTCATTTCATTTCTTTGATGTAGTCATACATTTGAATGATAATCATGATAATTGTGATGCTTTCTTTTAAACTTTTTGTTTGTTGTGAAGTAATGAACAGTTGAAATGTTGTTTGGACAAGCAACATGGTTGTGACGAAAGAATAATATATAGTTGGAGTAATTGTTATCGGTGCAATGCATGGAGAGTAAATGCTGGTTCTTTTTTTTTTAAAAAAAAGTTAATAATGTATAAATTTTTAAATATTAACCATCCCCATTTTATGGTGGTGGAGTTTAAATACGGGTTGAAATTTAATTTCATTATTTATATAAAAATATTTTTTAAAAAATGTTACAAATGATATTCTTAATGTGTAACAAGTAATCTTTAAATTTATAACCATTGGTATTTCAATTTTTTATTTTTAAATTTAATTTTATGTGATTTTATTTAAGTTAATATAAATTTTAATTAAATCTAAAATTAATTTAATATAATTTAATAAATATCAATGTAAAATATAAAATATCTAATATTTTTATTTTTTTATAATTATTATGTTTGTTTATTTACAACAGATGAATTATTTTTTAACTAAAATTTGTGTTTTATTACTAGTAAATATTTAATATATTTATATTTGATATAAAAATTTGAATAACAAATGTGTGAAATAGTAATTATTTTATCATTTGATAATTTTTATATATTTTTAATTATTACCTTTACTATCCATGTATATTTGTGTTAATATAAGGTAAGATAATGTGTTAATATATAATCCTCCCTCCACTTAAAAATGTAAAACATTTTTAATTGAATCTTACCTTCTAATAAAGTAGTTACTTATATTTAAATTAACTCTATCTTTTTATATTTACCTCTATTTAATAAAATATTTCCTCCTAAATAAATTTAAAGTAATATATTCAATAAGGGTACTTTTAAAAAAATAATAATTATATCTTAAAAGATTTAAAATACCTTATATTTTTAAATATTCAATCCTTCAAAAAATACATTACATTTTTAAATGAAGAAACTAGTTTTTATCAACTTCATTTTCATTTTTTAAGACAAATCAACTTTATTTTCTTAGTCAATTTCATTTATCTCCTACTATTTAACATGGTACAAGGTTAAGATTCCTTTTAATCATTTGAAAAAATTGAAAAAAAAAACATGAATATAAGGAAATTAGAAAAAAAAAATTGGGAATTAAAAAAATTAAAAAATATATTTAATATAGAAGAGGTATAAATTCATAAAAGAAATTTTAATAATTAATTTTTGGCTCATACGAAATTCTTCCTAAAATTAATTGTAAACCCCGATAAAACCCTTTCTCGTGAGCAGCGGGTCCAGTTCTCTTAGTCGACGAGCAAGCTTCCCATACTCCGTCGGACGCCGTCCACCGTTGTTCTGCGTGGTTGTTCTCGGGCAAGCAGTGAAGAAGGTTCGAACCCTAGGGCTTTTTCTAGTCCCAAAATCCGGTGAGATTGATTTGTTCATTCTGGTGTTTGGAATCTAGATTTGAATTTTTCCTCGCTTCATCTGTTCCCGTTGTTCCTGCTTTGTTTTAAACTTTTCATTTTAATTTGGCTTTGAATCTGGTCGTGTAATCGTTGAATATTGACGCCTGTGGATTTGGGATTTTTTTTTTTGGTTCTAGTTTTTGCTTGAATGGTGTAATTGGCTATTATACTTCTTCCCTCTTCATTTTTATTACTTGCGACTTGTATGATTTGGATATTGTTTTTCTTTTCTTTTGCAATGTTGGATTTGTTGTGTCTTGGCATTCTGTTTATTAATCTTTCTATTATTATCAAATTTGGAAATTCTCAAAGGTACTTGTGATGTATGATCTTGTAAATGGCTTGGCTCGAGTTGTGTCAAAGTATCCAAAACAAAATTTAAAACGACATGATATCAACTTTGCACATTTCAAAGATTTCAGTGGGGGCATGGTATAGGTCCGCCTATGATGGCTTGTAACATTGAATTGTTTCTGTAATGAAAATGAAAGGTGATTCAGAGCTTGGAAATTTAACATTGTTTTAGATGTCAAACATACATGTCCAATGCAATCAAATTTATAGTGATTTTTGTAGTAGAAACATTAATATCTGGCCTTTTAAAACTTGTTTATGGCCATTGATTCCATTCATTGAACTTTATATTTGTCTATCCTTCAATTCTTCAAGGTAAAAAGAATTCATGTAGGGCTTTTGATTTGAATCAGAGTTTTGGGTTCTTGGTACTGAATGAATGAATGCATATGGATGTATGGAAGATTTTTTGCAGCAATGGTATTGTTCAATCACTGAAAGAAGCAGGCTTTGATTTGAATTAAAGGGTTAAATAAATTTCATTGGCTCTCATCTAAAAGCATCTGAATACTGGTCGATTTTAATGAAGATGATTGATCAGAGTCATCAAATATTTATCATGCTTTCAAACGAGGTGGACCAGACATGAATTATGAAGTATGTGTACTTGAAGAGGGACTTCTATATTTCCCGCCTGGTGGGAAAATCAATGTTCCATGTAATTTCTTGACAATTTTATCATCTGTGGACGTTGTATAGGCTGTTATGCTAGTAACTAACAATTTTGATTAGTAAGATTATAAGTAAGGGGCGTGACATTTTTTAGCTAATTTTCAATTCTCCATAATGATACTCTCCTCTTCCCCACGAAAAATATTTGGGTAGACTGTTCATGTGTTATGAGCATCTGCGCTTGTTTGAATCATCATGTATGATTGTTATTTTCCACGTCTTGTGGTATACTACATGATCTTGTGCCTTCTCAAATTTTAGTCAAGGAATGTGATTTTGAACTTTGACAGGGTGCAAAGCAAATAAAATGTCCAAAAGAGCAATTTCCCCCTGCGTTTTGACTCCATGAGTCACATTCTTGATTGAACAACATGAGGTTTACTGTAATTTCTAGATTACTTCCTCGTCGCCACACTCTACCCAGTACATGTGCACTCGGGAACTCTCGTGCATTCCAGCCTGATTTTGTACCCAGAGATCCAAAGGCCAAGCCAAGAAAGTACAAAATTCCTCAGTTTTATGATCCTTATGGTCCCAGACCTCCTCCTTCAGAGAAAGTTGTTCAACTTGCAGAGCGAATTGCGGCACTACCTGATGAAGAACGCAGCCAAATCATGCCTACTCTGGCAGAGAGACTAAGGCTTCCAAAGTTGCAGCCAATTTCAACTGAAGGCATGGACTTGGCCCCACAGGGTGGCGCGGCTGGACCGAAGGCTGAGGAGAAAAAGGCAGAGAAAACAGCATTTGATGTCAAGTTGGAAAAATTTGATGCTGCTGCAAAGATCAAGGTGATTAAGGAGGTCAGGGCATTTACCAGCCTGGGTTTGAAAGAGGCCAAAGATCTAGTTGAAAAAGTACCAGTTGTGCTCAAACAAGGGGTCACTAAAGAAGAAGCAAATGACATGATAGAAAAAATTAAAGCTGCTGGAGGAGTAGCAGTTATGGAGTAAAAGTATTGTTGGAGGCAAAAACTATATTCTGTACGTTGAGGCAAATAAATTACAATTTGATATTGTCTTGAGAATTTTCCTGTAGTCAGATATTGTGAGAGCTTACTGTTCGTATTTTTGACAGTTAAAATTGCAGTTTGTCCTGGGGGCCATCAGGTCAACCTTTTTAAACGGTTCTATGATGAACTCAAAACGATTTCAGCCGGTTACCAGTTGATGTATTCTTTCACTCCTTGCCATGATTCTCGTGCGCATGACTACTCCATGGTAATTGTTTGATCGTCTATTTGTTAAATTTATTTTTTAAAAGCTTTATATGCTCATGTTATCTATAAGAAATCAAACTGAGATTAAGCCCTTGGGTACCATAATATTTCTCTTTTCCCTTGTAGGGAAAATGGGAAAAAGAAAAGGTGTTGGGGTGGTGAGGGTGGTTTAATTCATGTTTTTTTATTAATTTATGTTCAGCTTACTTATTTTTCTTTTAGACGTCTTCCTAATACTGCTATTATGAAGATGTGCTTTATCATTTATTTGTAGGGCGATTAGAGCACACCAAGGTTAAATATTGAATTTTGCTCTCATTTTAATTTCCTATGCTGTTAATTCTTATTATTTTCTGAATTATCTCCTGCGAGGTATTGAAAAATTGTCAAATTTATAAATAAAATAACCCTGAAAATTTAATATAATAAGATTTTAAGGGCAGAGGTTAAATCGACTATTAAGTTAAATAAGGCGCTATCAAAATTTAACGAGATCTCCAATATTTGAGCTCCCGAGAATTTTAGTTTGCCAAAAAACCCACATTTGTATTCATTTACAATAGAAGATTCATTCAAAAGAATCTTTTAATTGTTTAAATACCAAATCAAACTTTTAAAGCTATAACAATTTAGTTACAAATGCTCAAATTATAAACAGTTGAACACAATAAGCAATTAAGCACCTTATCAATATAATGTATAATGAAATATGTAACCAACCATACGATTCATAGATCATAAATAATTAAGGGCAAATAATTTCTTGGACTCCATCCAACATTGCAAAAACCATGTCTACTTTTATGCCAAATCTTCTATGTTGAGCTGAATATCTGAGATCTGTGTATGTTCACAAGCATCAACCTTGTTGGCCCAAAAGGAGCATTATGATTCTTACAAAAATAATAAAATAAATGAGTAAACGGGGGAAATCAAGAGTATCTAAAATCTGATCAAAATTACCTAATGTTCTCCAATCACAGTAATACAATAATCACATCATAGCCTAAAACAAAAGTAATAGCAATAACATTATAGCCAAAAAGCAAAAGAAACAGCAACCTCAAGGTCCTGACTTGTAAAGACAAACATAATCTTTTGCGCATAACCAATTGTAATTTAATATGGTTAAGAGGGAGAGGGGAGAAAAAAAGAGAGAACAACCAGAACATGCATCCTTCACAGCAGATAGAGAACGATCCATGAATCAGTCTCCAGACACGTATGTCTTATCCTCGTAGTATCTTTTCTCACTCTCTCCCTTCTTCTCATTGCGTTTCTGCATGCATAATGGAAAACAATAATGGCATCATTGACAATAATAAGCAAAATTAGGATGAAACTTGTAAGCACATGACATGAGGAAATAATACATCATAAAAACATGAATATATATATATATTTTTTTAACTATGATGATCACATCCTATGAGGTGAACAAGGGACAATGAGAAAATGAACGAACTGATAATCACTGGGATTCCAACACGCACAAGCGTGCACGCATGCACAAAGATCTGATTTGTATCATGAATAGTAAGAAAAATGGGCATTATCACAAGGAAAATTTTGATTTAGAGGAAGAGGCAAAAATTAGAATAAAAACATTACCTGATAAGTCAATCACAAATATACAAAACACCCAAGAGAAAATATGGAAAATTACAGTCATCACTACAAAAGTGCACCTTAACATCTTCATTGACGTTTTTAAATATAAGACACAGCAAATTATTGAGTTCTTGCATTATCTGGACACATCCTAAAATAGTTTATGCATGTTTGTTGTCCGAAGCACCAAAATTGAGTAGGTAAGAATGGAAATGGCTCTTCCTTTTTCTATTCAATCAATTGCATGAAGTGTTCTACCACCATTTTGTATAACTGGGCTATCCTATTAGTACAAATATGATGGAAGGATGACCAACGGGGATTAAATCTAACGGAAGGTGAGAAAGAAATCCATATTTAGTACTCAACTGTGTTTCGAACAGGATTTGCTTTAATAAGAAGACACTTGTGAGTAATCAGAAAAAACATAAGATGGAAGGATGCATTAAATCCTTCCTTCTTAGTAATTCTAAAGTCGTCTCTTTATCATGGAAGGATGCATTAAATCCTTCCTTCTTAGTAATTCTAAAGTCATCTCTTTATCATGTGGTAAAACAGCTTAGTAGCTTGCAACGCCCATAGCTTTAAGGTCTCGCGTTCAAATCCCGTCTCTGCAAAAATTCAATTTGAGAAAAAGCACATCCAAAAAAGGCAGCAATGGTATCACATGCACAAACAGATGCATACCATGAGCAGCACCTAAATAACAGAATAACATAAAAAACATACATGAATGCAAGACGTGTGGAAAAAGAAAATTACCTGGTATGCCTCATGATTTGATACAATCCTTCTAATTATTGTAGTTGTTGTGACATCTAGAGGACTTTCTAAGATTTGGAAGATGCCCATGCTGATGGGAACAGCATATGGATTGCTATTTTCCTGTATATAAACCAATCTCAGTTGACACCTGAATAGTATAATTTTATACAAAACAAAAGCCACTTGATGCCTTCTGTTGGCACCTGGGCTAGAAATCTAGAAGGATCGGAGGCTGATTTGGTTAAATAATTAAGGTTGACCAAATCTGCAAAAGAATCCAGATCTGGCATGAATAATTACTGACCCAAATCTTCTTTTAATCCTCAGATTTCTTGCAACAGATTAGTTAATCTTTTTCTCCTGTTTCATTTTCTTACCTTTTTCATTTTATACTTGTTAGGCTTTTATTACCCAAATTATTGTGTTTTATTTTCCTGTTTCTTCCCTTATCTGGAGCCTGGCCTCAGTGCTATCTTCTTGCTCTGGTAACTACTTATTTTTCAGTTCTTGCCCTCTGTAATTCAGATTATTCACGATAAAATAAGAGTATTCTTCCATGAAACCTTCACCTTCACCAGTAACTAGTAGTGATAACTGCATATAATTCAGAATTTGGCATAAATTATGCAAACTTGCCTTCTGAAAATCATTATTTTCTGCTACAGTTCCATGGACAACTAATGAGATGTTAAATGTTGTGATCTGCACTCAACAGAAATTCAACTATCAGTACATCACAATAATCAATGCAAGAGTAATTATTACTAAACTAATTTTAAAATTATTATAAACAGAAAAGCATTAACACTTCATATTGACCTAGAGATCTCTTCAAACATCTTATAGCTAAATAGTAGCCACATCTTTGCTACAGAACCTAGCAAGACTTGACAACTTTACTAAGAACTTGTGCATCGTTTGGTATAATGGAAATGAAAATAAATATGGAGGTGGAGATGGATATGGATATTGGTTTGAAAACTTGCTTGGTATGTTTATGGAATCATAGCATAACTTTCATTCAAAAGACTAAAATACCCTCTCTGAAAAATAATACTAGTAAAACCATAATTTTCATTCAGGAATGAAATTCTTGGGCTATTTTAAAATTCCTTCCTTGAGAATGAAGCTTCCTTGCCACAGATCGTAGAAATGAACCGTTCAAAACCATTTTATGGATTACTTTTATCTTATTCTTAATAAATATTTTATCTTCTTAAAAAAAAAAAAACACTGTCCACTGTCCTATGCCATTTTTCCCTTTACCCAAATCAATTCCTTTTTCCAGATATGGCCATGGACTTCCGCAAGGGGGGGTGAAGATGCTTATAATGATGATCACAGCTTCTCACCCACTGCCTAGAGACAAGATTGAAGCGAGATGTTTTGGTCTTTCTTGGAGGAGAGGAGGTAGAAGAAGCACTTGATTCGAGGTAAGAGCAAAGTGGTCACCACCGATGAAGGTGGTGGAAGGCATGTTGGAGGCTGACGCCGTCGCCATCACTAAATTGGACAGGATCTCCATGGTGGACTCCATCAGAGACTAAAGAAGAGGACACGGCTGCCATCGGAGAAGTTGAAGAAGATGGAAAGGGAGGGATAAAAATAAAAAGTGATCATGGAATTACAAAACTGAGGCTATATTATAGAACCCAATTCCATGATTTTTGCTGGAATTGGAATTGGAAAATATTTCAATTCCACCATACTAAACAAACACTTTCCCAAATTCCATTTTCATATCCATATCCATCCTTCCCATTTCCATCATACCAAACATGACCTAAGAAGAAATGATTTTGCAGCTATCCTGACAATAATCGAAACATATCTATTGAAAAACATGCATAAAATAAGCTAATCCTCATGCTAGTTTCATGTCAAGAAAAGGGATAGCTTATGAAAGAATGGAAGGATTCTAGTTCCCTTGGGCCTCCCTCCCACACTTCCTCTCCTCTAGCGATTAAAATAACCTAAACAATGGCTCAACTCAAAACATGGAAAAGGGAAAAATGTGATGTACTAATTGTCACAGTTTAAAGTTCAACATTTATAAATAAATTCATAGTACAGAGACATCAATTCAATTATTCCCTCCATTAAATGATCATTGATCAAAACAAATAAACAATATTATCTACATTAACAAATAAACATTCCACAAAGGTTGAACTATTGAGTTTGAGAACCAACCATATCCTTCGACACCTCCCATGGTGCTCCAATTATAACCTCATCCACATAGCGGCATGCTAAAACGCTTAGACTTCTCTCATGAAGATTCATAATAGGACGATGCGCTCCTCTAGTTGCACTATAAAGCCATTAGAAAAATATGTCAAAATTGTCATATACTAACATCCTTAAGCAAAAAGGAAACATGTACAATGATAGCTACTTTCTTATACTAATTACTATATACTACCTCCAGTCCTTTTTATTAGTCACATTCTAGAAAGTTTTCTTAGTCCTTTATATAATTCACTTTCTCTTGTTTTTGTAACCTTTGATGAGCAATTCCAAAACTACCCTCCAGCTAATTCTAAAAAGTGCAACATTTCAATTTTCAAGAAAACTCTTTCCACATATCAAATCATTCTTTTTAAATTTAGTGGAAAAATTAGAAAGTGATTTATTTTTAAGAAAACTTTATTATTTTTACTAATTCACCTTGGTTTTGGCAAGTTAGTTAGAAGTAACTTATCAAAAAGACTAAAAGGAGTACATATTTTGAGGGGCAAGAAACTGCTTTAAAGAAACAGTCATGAGATAAGTCACCAAGGAAAAGGACTGGCATGTTTTGTATGCCAGATTG